TCATTTCCAACATCTTGAAGCGCAAATAGTTTAGTGGTTTGCATACAAGTCTAATAATTGGGAATCAGAACTCCAATCCTATCCTGGAGAAATGCCCTTTGTGAACTTGGTCAAATCATTTAACTCTCTACCTATGCTTCAGCATTACTCCGTCTAAATAACAGCACTGTTATTGAGGTTAAATCACAGAAACTGTTTTATACATAAAAGTTTTCATTTTTATCCTGTAAGGTTTTGCAACACTTTAAACTTACAATATCACTTTTGAAGACTGCTTAGTAACTAACACTACATAGTTAGAAGACTGACCAACAGCCCTCCATTTTGGCTCGGCACCACTGACAAAAAAAGAAAGACAAGGAAAGGAAAAGTCATGTTTAACATGACAGTGGTGTGAGTGATGCTGCTAGTTTTCATAATTTAGTACATTACCTACAAAATAAAATTGAAGTAATTAGAATATTGTTAGTTTATATTTTGCTTAATGACTGCTGTTACAGTCTCCAAACATGAATCCGTTTGCACATTTTACACCAACCTAATACATACCTTAAGGAAAAAAAAACTATTTAACGATCACAGCAGTTTAAAGCATGGGATTAATCAATACATATTATAATCGTTTTAGTCAAAGTAAATGTCCAAAAGAGTACACTTACTTATCAATGTCTGCCATGTTCTTAAACCTCAGAAAGCCTTTAAAAAAACAAAAACAAAACAGTATTATGATTTTATGTACAGAGACTTGCACATCAAATATCACAAATTAAAAATGAAGTTTAGGAACCACGTAAGACATACTATCATAGTTGTCAAAGCTTATCAGTAGCTTACGATATTGTAGTAACACTGTTACTATGCTGAGGTCACAGAAGTACCCATTTGTTAGGTGTGTACTCTGCACAGAATCACAAAAGTAAAGGGTTACTTCTTGAAGTTCCTGCCAGCCATCTCCAGCTCCCTGTGCTATGACAAGACCAACTAACCTAGATCACCCAACCTGTTTTTAAAATCTTCAGTGATAGAAGCATATGCCTCTCTTTCGTTACTCTTTAAACCATTCCCCCCTCCGCCCAATATTCCCTAAAACCTATGCCAAGAAACAATACTCTTGGTGTACTTAGAGAACAACCAATCACCATTTTAAAATAACAGGTCTTAACATATTTGAAGATTACCATCAGGTCTGGCCTCTGGACATGGTTAGACTTAAGAAAACAAGACTAGCCATGTTCTTAAGCCCCTTTTCATGTTAGGTTGCCTAAGCCTTCCATCATTTTTGTTGTTCTCATCTATACTATCTCCGATTCATCCATCTTTGATAAAATGTGGTGCTCATAACTAGGGATGTGTAAGTAACTGTATACATGCTTACATGCAGGCTCCCAATATGTGCCGGTAACTAGATGTTAAATTGTGGATAATCAGCTCATCAAGTAGCTGATGGAATTTCCATCGACTACTCGATTAATCAATAAGAAGAAAACTGCAGAGCCACAGAGGGGTTAGCTCCCACTGCAGCTCTGCCTTTTAAATGTATTAAGAGCCGTCAGCAGCCCCGACCCAAAAAAGGTTCCCCGCCCCTGCTCTACAGATAACCTGCATGCAACACTTCTAGTTGTCTAGTCTAACCACTAACTTATTACAACATGTCAAGAGTTTTGAATGACAGATCAGACAGCAGCAATTGTTAAACTTCTTAAAGCCCATGGCTATGAGAGCTTTAGTCATCAGTGCCTTACAGACTTCATATGACCCTGCAGTGCTGTCTTGGCTCCACTGTGCACCAAGGCAGCACTGACATGTGAACTGAAGCAAAAGAATAAGAGGACCTTTTAAAAGTGCAGAGATAGGTCTTATGACTGGGCTCCCCATGCTCCCATTTTCCTTTGAGTTGTGCTAGTTCTCATAAACCAACAAGTCAACAGCAAACTAACAGGCCAGATTCACAATTACATTCCAGTTGTTTTCAACTGCCCTGGTGATACAACTGTAACCCAGTTGGGCTGGAGCAACTCCCTCCCATTTAATCGATTAACCAGTTAAACATAATGGTTAACCAGTTAAATGGGATTTTTTATTCCTTTGGCAAGCCCAATTTAAATAGAACCTCCCAGCATGTCAGTGACTGTCTTTAAGAACCAAAATAAACAGCTATATAAGGTTGATAACTACATATCTTCAAATCACTAGAAATACTGCATGGCAGCATTCTAAGACTCCCGTTGAGTGTTCATGTTTGACTTTAACAATTAAAACAAATTCCAAGAAATCCAAACACATTAAGATTATGGAACTAAAATTGGGAATCCCAATCACAATTCACCTTACAATGTCTGTGTTTCACATCATTTTCCCCTTCCATGATATTAAGGAGGGAAACTACTAAATTCTCGGCAACAGGCTGTGGCCTTCTCCTAGGTTACAGTTAACTAGTTACCTGTTCACATCCCCATTTTGAACTGAAATCTGCTGTAGAAGTTATGAAGCCCTCTGTACTGTGTATTAAATGTATCTGGCAAAACACACAGTAAAGTTCAAACAGTGCACTTAGCACAGATCTGTGGCATCTTAGTAGCTGTTTAAGGGCTTCTTACTTAGGGGCTTTGTAGTCATATTCATGAAAAACCTACCTACCACCAGCAGTGGAATGGGTGTCAAGAAAAGAGTACACATCTTGTCACATGTTCTATAAATCTCATCGAATTGCTCTTATTCAGGAACCAACCATGTACCTTAACAGAAGAGCAACTTTCATCTCCACTTGTTCTACCTCTTCTCTACTGTATTTCCACTACTGGAGCATCACACCACATAGCTATACACTGCAGTGAAATTATGGATGCAGCCTGCTTTCACGACTACAGCATATACATCAGAACATGTAACCTCTCTATTCTACACCCTACCATAAATGCAGAAATAGCCACACAGTCAAACCTGTGAAAACCACTTCCACATTTCACCAAGACACCATAGATTCTTGTAATTACAAGATGGCATAAGATTATGCAAGCATTGCCCTCAAAATTCCAGAATTTAAAAAAAATTAATTAAAAAAAATCAGTAGCAGTAGTCTGCTATGGTACATTAAAAACTAACAAGAATTGGAACTCTGTCCCTGGTTCCCCTTTATGTTGTCCTTTTCCTCTTAAAAGACATGAATTAGGGATGCAAATAAAATTATATCATTTAATTGCTTAATTGTTTAACAGTTTTAATGAGTAACCGTTGAAGGGTTTTTCTGGCCAGGACCGTTTTGCTGCAGGGGACTGCTTTTTCATATTACATCCAAAAGAGTCAATGGAGGACATTAAAGGTTGCAATGTCAAACACTCAAAAACTAGGAAATGCCAGAGTTAGAGGAGCCCACACAGCTCCCTTGGGCATGTTTATTTGACAGTCTTCAACTATACAATCTCATATTGTTTTTCCCCATAGAACTTTTAAACCTTGTTTAGTGCACATTCTGAACAGTACTCACTGAATTGGTAGCTACCTATATTTCGTCTTACTCATCATTCAGTGTGTCCCCAGTATACCATCCAAACCTTGCAATTATTCATTGCTTCATGAGCTTTATGGTACGCATTTTAGTACGTTGGTTCTTTAAAAACATTAATACTTTTATCTCCGAAATGTCCCTTGATATGAAGTGACATTACCTAGATTCTACACATGAGAGAACTGACCGAGCTAAAAGCCAAGACTGTATGAAATCACTACTAGTTTGGGGTGCCCAGTTTGAAGTACCCAGTGTCTGATTTTTTTAAATGGAGTACCTAAAACTGTATAGCACTCCATATATTCACAGTAGGTATGTAAAAGTGTAACTGTTTAAACGGCTAACCTATACGCATCAGCTTATCGGTTTCTGTTAAGGTTTCGCACTGGTTCCTGCTCCAGGGAGTCAGCTGTCACTCCCAGGCTCTGCACTATAAAGATATACTGCAGAGCCCACAGTGAAGTCAGCTCCCCAGAAGCATGGTTGGCAGCTGGCCCCACTCCGGAGGAGCTTGATTCACTGTGGCCTCTGCAGTATAAAACTTTTATATAAGATTTATACTGCAAAGCCCACAGCACATGTAACCACCAGAATTTTTAATAGTGACAGTTACACTTTAACATCCATAACACAACAAAGCTCCCTCTGACTTTGGCTGAAGCTGCAAGTGTGCGGTGCTTCTGTAAATGCTTCCCCCCCCCTCCCCACTTTGGCTGAAGCTGCAAGTGTGCGGTGCTTCTGTAAATGCCTTCCCTCACCCCCACCCTCCCCAGTAAGGATGTTAAATTGTGGTTTAACTAATCATATAAGACAATAAGACCACTCTGCAGAGTCGCAATGGAGGTAGCTCCAGGCTCTTGCTACATTTCAAAGGCTGAAGCACCACAGTGGGAACCGGCAGGAGTGGGACTGCTTCAGTCCCAGCTTGCACCCTTTCCCCACTGTACCTTTGCCTCCCCTGCTCCCTGGAGATAGTGCTGGGAGAAAACCAGCTTTTAAGCCAGCTCCCCCCCTCTCCCAACACCGGCTCCTGTGCCCCACCCTTGCTGCCTCTGACAGAGGCAACTATTGGGGGGAGATGGGGGAAGGGTGGCACTAGTTGAGTCACTACTGACTATCCAATAAGCTTTTGCTGAACTGATAATCGACTAGTCAATTACACCCCTACCCCCAAATTGGATGCATGGGGGGGGAGGGGGAGGACAGACAAAGGAGCATGTGAAAAGTTTTACTCTGTGTGACTTGCCTCTGGCACAATTTCTGTATTGTACTGGGCAAACATGGGTCTTCAGAGCAGCATTTAACAGCCTCTATGAAACAATCTTTTCTTTCTACAGTTCATCACCTCATTCATGATACTTTTCAACTTCTGCAACTAAAGTAAGGATGATTGACTATTCAACCCTTATTCCTCTTAAGAACATAGCCGAGACTGCACAATGAAGGTAGTTTGTTATGTGAAGATTTTAAAATACTAACAAAAGTGTAAGTCGTACAGAACCACACTGATGCCTCTCATCATGGATCATCGACAGGACTGGAATCATCAGATTCCCCAGCACTGTCCTCTATTACTTACGCTAACAGAGTAATTGGGAGCAACAGAAAGCTGTTAACTTTTCTGTGAACTTGCCACTAAAGGGGGATAGAGACATTCTGCCAATCGGTTTCACAGCTATTTGTTAGCAAAGGAGTCCTGAGATTCTAGAATAACTGGTTCTTTCCAGATTAGTGGAATGATCTAATGCAGGGGTCAGCAACCCATGGCTCAATATGGAACCAAATTTGGCTCTTTTGTCATTCCCAAAATACACCCAACTTTTTAAATTAAAATGAAAAAATAGTTCAAAAATTTTAAAATGTGTGATTACTGACATCAAGATAGTCTTTTTTTTGTCTATTTCACGTTTAACCAGAAGTGATGTAAGGCGGTGCACTCCGGTAAGAACAGGCTGCACTCTGGCAAGAGACGGCTGTGGAACTCTGCTCATTTAAAGGGCTGGCTGAGGTCGCACTGTAGGGGATACATGCGCACTCCAAGCTGGGACAGTGAGAAGGCCGGGCAGGCAGCAGATGCTTCCATCTGGAGGTAGTGGCCAGGCTCCAGGCCTCATCTGATGGTCGCAGTCTGTCCACACATGCTGTGCTCCTGGGGCAGACCCTGCGGCCTGGCCATGGCAGTCTCACAACTCTGGCAACAGCCAGGCTGCAGCATCCCCGCTTAGGCTCCAGTTGCAGCAGCCTGGCCAACAAGGCGCCAGCCCCCACCTTGCCACAGTGTCCTGCCCTGGGCCCCGATC